TCCTTTAATAAAGGAGCTACAATACTAAGAGCCTATAATTTTTAACTCAAGGTTAAGAGGCAATAGTTGTCATGCACGTGTATACCCTGCTACAGGGGAAAAAAAATTAAAATCTATATTTCCCATAAGTGTATAACAATAAATTTTTCCTCACTGTCTCAATAGTAAAAGAAAACCATTGCCATCTGTTTTCATCTCATGTACAAGGCTGAACAACAAAGGCAAAATTAAAAATTGAAAAGCTTGAAGACTTTTCTTTGCATATCAAATTATTTTAGATATGCCACTAGCAACTGCTGGCTGAACACTAAAGTAGGGCTTTTGATACCATACTTGATTACATAAAGCAGTGTTACAGATGCCAGAATTATTAGAACGCACTCAAGGTTTATATTCAAGATAAAAATAACTGCTCATTTATTTGTATAAGTAAGATGTAGCTGATAGGGGGAAAAAAATAAATTAGCTTTAAAAATTATTTCAGTTATCCAAATTACTAGAAAAATTATGTTTATTACTATTTGTTCTGGTTGCTTTAAAGGCTTGTCTTGTTCTCTGCTTTGAGAGGAAAGAATTTCCATGTCTACCCTCTGCCCAGACCCCAAGACAGCAGCATTTTATGTAAAACCGCTGTTTGCAGAACACGGAATGCATAAGCAATTCCAACCTGTGGAAGCAGTTGGTCCTCACAGTACCAAGAGGGGCTCTCCTGCAGGCTTATTCTAAAGCTGCCATCCACTCTTAGTTGCTCAAGAGAAACTTGCATTTCCTCATATACTGATCCACCAGCCCATCCCAGCCTGCTGAATACCATCAGCTTTTTGCACACATCTAACAGCTTCTTGTTTGTTCAAAGCAAAAAGCCTGCAGCCACCACACACTTCATGCCCATGTAGCCTTGTTTCATTTTTTCATGAGATTTCTCCTGCTTCATTTCTGTTTTTTTTTTTCTTCATTCAAAGGGCAGATAATGCCTGCAATTACTGTTTTATTTCCATTAAGAACAACAAAAGGAGCCAGCACTTAAGCTCATATCCAGGCATCTTGCTCTCTCTTCAGCCCAACAGCACTGAGACCAAATCAGGCAACACTTTAATGACAGTAGCCTAAGATCTCCTATAACACTCAAAAAATCCCAAAGCTATTGGCCACATTACTTGACTATTTGGGTTTCCTTTAGGGTATTTTTCTTTTTAAATCATACAATATCACACCATGAAGGCTACAAAATCTACACCAAACTGGACTATACAGCATTAAAGTGTCACGTGTGGAGGCACTTGAAGATGAAGAAACAGGAAGGGAGGACTTTCACAGTGGTCTATCTGCACAACCATCAGTCATTGCAGGTACGTTCTTTCAGCTACAATACCAGCTCTCAAGACAAAGCAGAGGCTTTTGACAGGTTGCAGGACTGCGGGCAAGACCAGTTTCCAGCCTGTAACACTCAAGAGAACTGACTTAACAATTTTAAGTTTGGAAGCAAAGTTGGTAAGTCTAACTGGACAGGGTGCTGTAGCCAGAGAGTAGGAGTTCAATGGCTGTATTTAAAACTGTATGCAGGAACCACCGGACTGAATTTTGCCTCAGCAGTATTCTACAGCCCACCTATGTTTCAAATTAAGAAATAAATAAGAAAACAGAAAACAAATATAAATAGATGCATAGATGTATAATAATAACAGAATAAAAAGATGTACAATGGAATGTAAAAGATGGGTTTGGTCAAACCCATCCTTTGCTACCACAGTTTTTCAATTGACATGTTACTTCACTGTCCAGAAAACTCAGCTGTAACACTGGCATCAGCAAAGACACAAAGGTAGCATAAGAAGTGCAATATGGTTAGAAAATGGACCAAGAAGCCATAACAAGCAGATTTTGATAGATGAACAATAGAGACATTAATGTTTTAGTAACTTGCCCAATTTTTGTCAATGAGCATAAAATGTGGGTCTCTAAATTGAGAGGCAGTACCTGTAAGTCATGATATCAACAGGGGATATCAAGCTGAAGTTGCAAAAGGATCACATTCAGTTAAGAACAAAATACTGTGAATTTCTGGTGCAAGTTGAGAGTTCAAAAAGTGGGAACAAGTTACTTCGATATCACCAGTGAGCACAAGATGACTACATGACAGCTTTACTGTCATGACAAAGATGGGTCCTATTAAATTTTTTTTCCTGCTATAGCTAGAGAAGTATTAGTAACCTTTTACACAATACAGTGAGATCCCATCTAAAGCGACCACAAGTGTTGCCCACGTTAAAAAATATGCCTGTCAAACTGAAGGAGATGCAAGACCTACCATAATTATCAAAAGAGAAAACTGGTTTTAAGAGAAGGGGTTTTAAGACTTCAAGTTCATAAAAAATGCTAAGAAAGGAATGACTGCTGTCTACAGATATGTCAGAAAGCTAATTGTGAGAAAGGAGAAAAAGAAGCTAAAGCACAGGCACAACTGGATACAGACTGGCCTTTCTGACAGTCAGAATGGAAGTAGAAAGAGAGGATTTGTATCAGGAGATTGCTGTAGATACTCATTCCTCCAGAGGGAAACTAATCAGCTGAAAAGTAGAACAAGAGCTACTGAGTCTTGCAGACAGTATCTCTAGTTTAAAAAAACAACAACAACAAAAACTTGGGATTTGGATTTGTTGCTTTTAAGACTCTTAAAAAGAAATATATTGCTAAAAATTGCTTTCAGTTGTCTGTTCTATTTTCTCTCTTCTAATGTCAAGCAACTATTTGCTTATGGGGTAGTAATCCTCTAAATCAAAATAACTACAAAATCTATTCTGCCCTGTGGTTCTTCTCCTCCCCAGCACCCAACAGCTTCTGCAGCAGTCTCCTGTTCCCCTCTTGTCACAGTCACCCAGGTACCACATTTGTGTTCCTTCATGCTGGAAGTCACCCTGCACTTTAAGACCCTGGAGATGCAGGTCAGTGGTACAGTCTCTAGACACTTAGAAAGGAAACACTGAAGACACTTACATGGAGTTTGAAGTAGATCTACATAGAAACTTACCAGGACAACAGTGTTCAAGAACACAGAAGCAAGCCTTATCCAGCCAATTTGGGGAACGTGGCTGGTGATTCAAGTTAATCACAAACAGCATTCAGGCATCAAACTTCTAAGGAATAGGTTCTGTACCGATACAAGTGAAGCTGGCACTTAGGAAACAGCTACTAAGCAAGTTCAAGCTGTTGTCACTGCTTGCTTGGAAATAACCTGTCAGAAAGCAATTTGAACTGTTTCTACACACTTAATCTATGTCCTAAATCTGATGTGGTGTTATCCCATTTAGTTCACCCTTGAGTGTGTCTACTTGCATGATGCCAAAGCCCAGCCTCACGCCAGCCATACAGGTACTCTATCTGCAATACCACAATGGACTCTAATCCAGTAAGTGTCAGCACCCACTCTTACAGCCCAGCAAAGCTGCTACCATCATCCTTAGCCTCAGGATGTTATTACACACAACAGTATTTTGAAGCAGCCAGTGATCTCATATGGATGCAAGACTGAAAGAGAATAACATGAAGTTGCATCAGGAAATGAAGAATGAATGGAAATTACTGACAAAGGTGACCTCAACAATGAATTTCCAACTTCAGTTGGTGCAAGAAAGCTGTTACAGTGGCTGAAGTGTTTGAACTCCAAATAAGTCTGAGCTGGAGTAGCATCCAAAAATAAATACTAAAGTCACATAAATGGGGAAGCATGCTGGAGTATCAGAAACCAAAGCAAAGCTAGACCAATAGCAAAACCTTGCAAGATTCCTGCTGAGAGCCCTTCTCCCTTATATTAGGAAAAGCTGATCAGCATGGTCCCAAGGCTGTATTTATACCACACAGGGAATGGCATATACTAGAACGTCATACAGATTTTTTTCCTAAACCCAAGTGTCTGTATTTTGAGATCAGGCCTCTCCCTGCTGCATTATATTGCTTAGTAGATATTTAAGCAAGACATCTGCCGTATTGGCAGCTTGGGGAGGACACCAACATCTTCCAGCACATAGATAAAGGGGAGAAAAAAGCCCAAACCCTAACCTTTGTAGTTATTTCATAGCTACTAAACAACAAAAATGAAAACAGAAATCAAAAAATGGTCTGCTTTCAGCCTGAGACCCACCTATTAACGACTTTTGCAATGAAACCATCAGCCGAGTACCCAGATAACGGGCAGTGCTATTGACCTTGGCTCGGAACACGGGGCAACTTTGTTGCCACCTCCCGATTCTGCTGCAACATAAAACCCTGCGTGAGTGCTACCTCCTACAACCAAACTCGCAACACCACCCCTCCGGCTCCCGAGCATCCTGACAAAATATTTCCAAGCCCTGTTTTACTCTCTTGGTGGGAAAATGGAGTTTTCCAAGCACAACTTTTTTATTATCCTACCCCATGGGGGGCACAGAGTTCGCCTTCAGGGTGACACATCAGCCCTGCCCTCCACGCGCCATTATACATTAACCGGTTTTCCGCGCGTTGCGGGCACACAAAGGATAACCCTGGAGTTCCAGCCAGTGTCGTGCCGTGCCGTGTCGTGTCGTGTCGTGTCCCGGGAGCGAGCGAGCGAGCGAGCGAGCGAGCTAGCTGCCCCTCCCGCCCTGCTCTCCCTCCCCGCCGAGGGGCGCCGGGGCCGCGCACAAAGTCGGGGCCGCGCACGTGGGCGCGCGCCCCGCCGCCCCAAGATGGTGGGCGAGAGGCGCGCCCGCCCCGCCCCCGGCACGGCACGGACCGGACCGCCCGGTGACCGCCCGCCGCCGGCTCCGGCCGGCAGGGACGCGCACGGCCCCGGCGTGTCACCCCCTTCCCCGTCTCGGGGCATAGGGAGCCCCGGCATGACTGTGTGCGCAGGGGGTGTCCCCCGGCAGGCGCCCGCGCCTCCCGGCCAGACAAAGGGGTCCCGCCGGTGGCGGCGGAACAGGAACCTGGCCCGGACCGGGCGCGGCGCCCCCCGCCCCACGTGCGCGGCGGCTCGGCGGGCTCACCTCGTCCTCCCGCTCGCTGCGGAAGCACAGGCACGCCGCCCGCTTCTTGTAGCCCTCCCGGTCGTATGTCCGCGTCTGGTTCGGCTTGAATTTCATCATAGAGGCGGTGACACGCCGGCTGCCCCCGGCCGCCGCTGCCGCCGCCACGGCTCCTCTCTGTGAGCGCCGCCGCCGCGCCCCCGGGACACCGGCGCGGGCCCCCCGCTCGGGAGCGGGGCAGGAGGCAGGCCAGTCCCAGCTGCCAAGCTGCTGTCACAACAGCGCCGCGCCGCCGCCGCCGCCACCACCGCTGCTGCTGCTGCTGCTGGCGCTGCCACCGCCGCCCCAGGAGCCGCGCCACGCCATGGAGGCTCCCCCGGAACCCCGAGCTGCCCCCGCCCGCCCGCGGCGGCCGCCCCTGCGCCCCCACTATTTAACCGTAACGCGCATTCCTGCGCCCGCCGCGCCGCTCCGCGCAGGCGCCGGGCGGGGCCGGCGGCGGGAGGGGCGGGAGGCGAGGCCCGGTCACGGCGGGTGCGGTTCGGCAGCGGCGGGGCCCCGCGGGGCGGGCGCTGCGTGGGGCCCGAGCCCGTGCCCGGCGCGGCTCTCGGGGCGCGGGGCGGATGCGTTCTGTGCCGGCAGCTGCCGTGGCACCGAGCCTGGCCTAGGTGTGCTTTCCCTGCTCGGTACGGGGGGGATCTGCTCGGTACGGGGGGGATGCACGTGGCTCAAGTGCCGTAATAAGAGTGTAGCTTTGGCAGTGTAAGTTAAATTCTTTTTTGGAATACCGTGTTTTTAGAAGATAGGGTGTATGCAGGCTGGGAAAGCGGGCAGCTCACACCTTTTTTATTTTGTTTGTATAATACTGTTTGGGAGCTAAGGATAGACAAAAGGCTTTCCCAGTGCTGCCAGCAAGCCAGGAAAAGATCTGCTATCCTCATACCTTTATTATCATCTGGCACGCTGAAAGCCCTGGTGTTTTCATTGTCATTAAAAAAAATAATCCCACGAAACCGAATCCAAAAGCAAAACAAGGAAATGCTACTCTTTTCAGTGCACCCAAATTTCTGTCAACTGCAAGTAGCCATCAACAAATTTAGTGCTTGTGCGTGAAAGATTGCTCAGTTTTGTTGGCAGATGGAAGGCAGTATGTCCTTATTATGGTGATGTGTGACTGTAGAAATCACCCATCCAAACTGTTTCATAAACTTCTTCCTTCATCTGAATCTTACTGGTGTTTAGCAGGCTCTTTTGTGCTTTTAGAGTGGACCAATGTGTTTTAAACTTCTATCCTACATGTTTTTTTCATCCCAGGGTTATTTTTTGACACTTTTTTGATCTGTAATAAGTCAGACCTTTTATATGCTGTTTGTGGCATGCATTGAAGTGCATAGGTTCATTGAAGTGCATAGGTTTATCATCGTTAGTTGCTCTGGTTCTTAGTGAAATTTGGACCTTCTGTTCTTCAGTACATGAACTAAATGTGATAACTCAGTCCAATGTCATGCTTAAGAACTGGAGAAGTTGAAGAAAGGAAAGCACAATTTTATTGAGTTACGTTATTTTGGGTGAAGTTATATTAAGCTGTAAAGTCAAACACCCAAAGATTAAGAAAGTCAATTTTTAATTTGCTTTTACACATAAATCACTTGTATAAACATATCTTTTTAAGAAGGCCCCTGCCACTTTTTCCACTTTGCAGATGGACTGGCAGATATCTTTTTTTTTCTCCTCATTCAGTGAAGATCCAAGTCTCATTTATTACTACTTGTCATGAGTCAGTCCTCAAGCTACATATGATTTTAGCAATTTAATGGATCTATTCAGTGAGGATAAATCTATTTATTTATTTATTTTTATTGATATTGATATTGTTGTGAGGGAAGAACTAATATCTAATTAGTGTCTGAAATTTTTAGTTCAAAGTTTATAGTGTTGATATCTGGAAGCTTTGAGAATGCTCAGGAATGGTTTTGATACTTGGTTCTTAAATTCATCCATGATACAGAAGAGGGGATGTGGTATGGTTTGCTGTATTCCCATGTGGTTTAAAAGACACATCTTTATAAACGGTAAATGTCATTCATCAGATGCATATAGCAAAAAAAATCTTGCTTTTTATAATAGGCCATGATAGAACTCATTTTACTTTGGGTTGTTCCTTAAGCTTACTGCTTCAGGCTTTACCTTTTAAGATAAACCCATTTTAAGTCTTCAGTATAGATCTTTCTGAATTATCTTTTTACTGTTGTTATGTTTTGTTTTGTTTGTTTGGGAGGCTTCACCTCTTATGCAATTGGAGTAAGTTCAAAAGTAGGATTTATACTTAATGAGAGCAGTGTCCAAAGATCAGATTACCTTAGGCCAGGTTTTCCACTTCTGTACAACTCACCCCTCCCGCCTCCCAAAAACAAACAAAACATTTGACTGCCAAATCCGAACACAACACACAAATTTGTCTGTTGTGAAACTTTCGTCACGTAGCTCAGAGGTAAGAGCTGGAAGATGGAGATTTGTGAGATGGGCCAGTTCGTAGGCTGGCTTTAGTTACAGTTTCTAGTCCACATATCCTCAAACACGATAACAATTCCAATGGCTTGTCAATTCATTGGGGCCTTCTTTGTTTTTGTGAAAGCCCCAACTTCTGCCTATATGTACTTGGGCTTTTATTTAACAGAATAGAAGAAATGGAACTTTGTGAATATGGAAAAACATTAAAAAAATAATGATAGATGAATCCTAAGAAGTGCAGTGTTAGGACCTTTGAGGGATTTTGTTTTGAGAGGTGCAGCCTTTTTTTCCTCTCTTTTTTTTTTTCCTTTTTTGGGAGAGAGAAGTTGAGATTCATTGTAAATGCCTGAAATTATTTTGGTTTTTTGTTTGGAGGTGTGATTCTTAAACGGTCCTTGGTTTTTAGAGTCGTCGGGAGGCTTGAATCTTCAAGGTGTTTGTATTTTTCAAAATTATGCTGTCTTGTAAGTTTAAGTTATATGGTCTGTGTATACACTGAAGTCAGCATTAACTGTGTGAAACAGTCAACTAATAAGTGAATAATATTTACAATGCTATCAGATACTTGTGTTCATAATAGTTCTGTAATGATGCATTGCTTTGTATTTTGTTAATGCAGTGTATGAATACTGGGTATCAGATTATGATTGCATGGGATATATTACTGAAAGGAACTGCTACAGTGTGGTACCAAAGATCTATTTTATTCAGAGACTTTTTTTTGTTTTGCTTTGGTTTTTTTTTTTGAAGAGTGTCTCTGGATTTTGAATTTTAGCTATAGTAATTGTGATGTAACTCATAATACCTTGAGTACAAGTGTGAACCAGAGCTTAGTGTACAATGCAGGATGCAAAGTTACTTTAAAGGAGGTTCAAAAACCTCTACATTCAGGCAAAAATAGCTTTCCACCTAGCTGTAGTTACACTTTAAAGTGAAGTCTGCTTAAATGTGAGGGAACAGTTTTCTTTTCCTTGAGAAGAAAGAAACAGGTTTAAAAATTTACAGAGTAATTAGATTTTCCAGTTCCCTTGACCTACATTATTGCCGAGATTAGAAACTAGAGTGTTCAATAACTACGTTCTGGCAAGTTGTATGTGACTTTCTTTTCCACTCTTAGTTTATGATGGTTTATAAAAAAGAAATATTTCCTTTGGAGGTACTTTAAGTCCTCTACTTAACATTTTCTCTGAAGAGGAATGGATACTTAAATTTTTTTCTCACCTCTGCAGATAGCACATCAAGTTATTTACTTTATATTGGGGAAACCAGTGTCTTTAGTTACAATTATTCAAGGTGATAATTTGTTCTGTCACAGTTATAACATTTCTTTGGTATTCAACAGCTAAACCAGGGCAAAAAGTGAACAGTGTCTTGAGAATACATCCCTCTATTGCTGCATTGTAGCTGGGTGAAAGACTGCCTGCAGCTATAGGCCCAGTCACCATTTCAGCAGAATTTGCAGTAACTGTAGTGTTAAGGTTGGAAAGGTTAACCTGACAACCAGCCTGGTTAGCACCTTTCCCAAACCTAGAAAAAAATCTTAAACATATTTGAATATAAGAACATTTGGTTTAGGGAACAGATAAGGATTCACTGTGTTAGTTCTTATTTAAAGTGATTTACTACCCAAGGGAGTAGTGATTCCTCTGAGATTTTATATTATTTGGCAGGAAAAATATTACTCTAGGTAAGTATGCAAGTGAGAACAGTGCCAAGCTAACTTCCTTGCAGACTTGAAATATCATCTTTCTAATGATTTAGCAGTTATGAAAATGCCAGCATTACTTTTAAGTGCCAAAAAATATGCAAGAGGCTTGACAATTCATGCATAAACTCTCTTCTGGTAAACACTGAACAGGGAGAACTTTAAAAAATGGAACTCTTACATATTTCTAAATTGTACTTCTGTGTAAAGGAGCTTTTATGAAGTAAGTCCCACATTGTCTTTTCCCTTAGAGCCACATTGTCACCTGAATCTTTTGTAAGCTGTGCTTTGAACACAATATATGTGCGTGCTCACTATGATAGGATTGCATTCACCATCCACAGGGCTCCCCAATTTTCAGGTTAATTTAGAGCACTGCTACAGCTGCCAACATCTTTTCCTTTGGTTTATTATCGTTGAACAACATGTATGATCCATATGCAATTGCACTATTACTGTATGCCAATCCATCTTTATAATTTTGACTTTTATCAAAAGTAAAGTTACCATTGCTTTGATGTCTGGTAAAAGTGACCCTGCCAGTAAAGATAGGGTTTAGTATCAAATGCTTATAAAAGGGGATAAATAATAGTCACCTGTTAATTAAAAGGGAGAATCAATTAAATAAAAGCTATGTTCATTTGAAAGTAGATATCTGAGCATGCTTATTTTTATGTATTAAGAGAATTGCATGATTTTTTGGTGATTTTTGTGTTCAGTGAATTGTGATTGGTTTGGATTTGCTTAAAATTGAATTTCTTTTAGCAAGATTGAAAAAGTAGTACTTTACATAACTGTTGAGCATATATTATTTGGCTTCTACAATAAAGCTATATTGATGATACGTAACTTCATCAAAAGTACCTGAAGATTTTTTTAAACTAATGCAAAATTCTTTTATCTCTGTCATAGAGGCAACATAAAACCCAAAGGATTTGTCGAGACTTTATGAAATAAGTAAGTATGAATTAAGATCACTGTTGTGTATTTCAGATTTTCTTTGAGATTATGTAATCTTAAATTTAGGTTTGAGCTTCTAAGCTCCTAGAGTAGGGCTTTGTCAATGGGATCGCCCATTGTTTTATATTCATAAATATTC